GTGTTTAATGGAGTTAGTGTTAGGGTATAGAGTGTCAGTTTTGCAAGATGAAAAACATTCTGGAGATGGATGGTGGTGATGGCTGCACAACAAATGTGAATATACTTCATGCCACAGAACTGTATACTTAAAGTCATTAAGATGGTAAATTTTATATTTTACCACAATTAAAAAATTTTAAATTCTTTATTATTAACCTATATCCCATCAGTGTTCAGATTTCCCTCTCATCAATACCTTTTGCAAACAAACAAAATAGCCCCTTTATTACTGAAAATTTCAAACATACACTAAAGTAGAAAGACAGTATAATGATCCCCCACATACCCACTGCCCAAATGAAATAATACACGGCCCATCTTGACTTACTCACGCCTGACCCACGCCCACTGGGCTCACCTAGGAATCACACCATTCTCCTTAAATACTTCAGCATGGATCTCTGAAATATAAAAGCTCTTTAAGAAAATAACAACACCATTATTGAATGTTTAAAAAAAAAAATCAAGCCAGCCCTGGTGGTAAAAAAAAATCAGATTGTTGTTAACAGGGGCTGGCCCAGTGGCACAGCGGTTAGGTGTGCACGTTCCACTTCAGTGGCCCAGGGTTTGCCAGTTTGGATCCCGGGTGTGGATCGACACACCGCTTATCAAGCCATGCTGTGGTAGGCGTCCCACATATAAAGTAAAGGAAGATTGGCACGGATGTTAGCTCAGGGCTAATCTTCCTCAAAAAAAAAAAAATGTTAACGGTTCGTTTATTCAAGTCAGGATCCAATACAATGCATTTGCTTGGCGTGCTCTTAAGATTCTTTCAATATGTAACAGTTCCCTCTCCCTTTTTCTCCTTTGCCATTTATTTGTCTGAGATGCTTAGTCATTTGCTTATAGTTGGCTGATTGTTTGCCCCCATGGTGTCTTTACAAAAGTTCTTCTGGGGCTGGCTTGGTGGCGCAGCGGTTAAGTGCACACATTCTGCTTCGGTGGCCCAGGGTTCACTGGTTCAGATACCAGGTGTAGACGCGGCACCGCTTGGCAAGCCATGCTGTGGTAGGCGTCCCACATATAAAGTGGAGGAATATGGGCACGGATGTTAGCTCAGGGCCAGTCTTCCTCAGCAAAAATGAGGAGGATTGGCAGCAGATGTTAGCTCAGGGCTAATCTTCCTCAAAAAAAAAGAAAAAAGAAACAGGTGAAGCTAATTTTAGTAATATATTTTATGTAACACAATATATTACCATTTCAAATGTAATTAATATTTTAAAGAGAGAGATTTTGTATTCTTTTTTGGTACTAAGATTTCAAAATCCAGTGTGTGTTTCACACTTTTGGCATAATTTAACTTCAACTAGGCACATTTCAAGCACTTAACAGCCTTCCATGGCTGGTGGCTACCGTACTAGCCAGTGCAGCTCTAGAAACTAGCTTTGAATGTGAGTTTTTGGGACAGCACTAAGAAAAAAGTAGGCATCCCTGAACCTGCCCCCTGGTTCTAGCAGCAAGCTCCTTACTGCATACAAGGCTCCTCACAGCCTGCCCTCCTGTGTCAGGAGGCTGAACTTCAACACATCAGGCCCCTCTGCGCCTCTCCACTGGCAGCTTCCCTGCCTGAAAGTAATCAACCTTGGCCCTCCTCTCTTTTCCTCCCAAGAGCCTTCTCACTACCTCACTCAATGTATTCAGTAAGGATCTACTGAGCCTCCTGGAGCCGGCCACTGTGTGGGCCCTAGAGATACAGCAGGGAACAAAAGCAACGCTTGCTCTCCCGGAGTCTATGTTCTAGTTGGCTTTTGCTCCCAAGAAATTAAGCACAGAAAGGGAGTTTGTGGGGAGTTTTTAAAAAGGCACTCAGCAAAGGGCTTGTGGAGTGTGAGAAGTCTGAGCCAAAGTCTGCAGGAGATGAGAGTAAGCTGTACCAACATCCCCAGAAGAGGTTCCGGACCGAGGGAAAAGCAGTGCAGAGGCTGAGTGGGAGAGTGCCTAAGTGGTGATGGTGGGAGCCTGAAGAGAAGGTGACAAGAGGGGACACAGGGGGAGGGGAGAGAGCGAAAGCTGAAAGCAAGAGAAGGCAAGAAAGAGAGCAGCGCCAGACTGAAAAGGGCCTGACGGCCTTGGTTAAGGGCCGGCTTTTCCCTCAGCTGAGATGGAAAACGCATAGTGGTATCCCAGCAAGGGAACAAGATCATTTTGGCTGCTGGGCAGAGAGTAGACCACAGGAGGGCTAGGGCAAACAAGGAGACCAATTAGGAGGTAATAATCCAGGTAAAAGAAACAATGGCTTAGACCCGGGTGGTAGTGGCAGAGGTGGTGAGAAGTGACCAGTTCTGGATGTGTGCTGAAGGTGGAGCTCCGTGTCTGTCTCTGTCAGCTCTAAGGGCAGGGTCACTCCCTCATTCACCTCTGCCTTTTCAGCACAAGAATGGGACATGACTTGTCATCACTGTTCAGTAAACAGACCCTAAATTCTGCCTGTTGGTTGGGACTGGCTAATTTGCCAAACCAGGAGAACACCCCATGGTTGGCCAGGTCTTCTGGCAAAAGCTCATACCCGGTAGAGGTAATCAGGAGATCGAAAACAACAACAAAATAAACAAATGCTTAAAAAGAGATCTCCTAAATCAATGAGAGCTACCATTTATTAAGCACTTAGTCTGTGTTGGCAGAGCAACTCTGCAAAGCAGGTGTGGTTATTACCATTTCATAAGGAAGGACACTAAGGCTTGGAGAGAGTAAGGGGAGCCCAGAGGAACAGATCAGTCGCTGAGAAGCAATGTCAGTGTGGGAATGTGTGGAGTGAAGACGGGAGTGATAGTTGCTTGCATCTTACCATCCTTGAAGGAGCAGCAGAGCGCACTGGGGGCGTGAGCTGCACACATCACAGCTCGCTGCCTGCCATACGAAAGGCTGGTAGAGCACACAGAACACACAGACGTTCATAACTCTCCACAGAACGACTTATGCAGGCTGAATGCATATGCTCAAATTGTACCACAGATCCCAACTTATAACACGGATTCTGAAGTTTCTCTAATAAAAACGCTTAGGACAAAACAAAACAAAACAAAACGCTAAGGACAAAAGTGCAGAAAGGTTGTATTCCCTTGAGGTGAAATGGACAACCTGAGGGGTAAACTATAAATGGATCAGTGCAACATTAACAGTGACCCTTAGGCAAGGCTCCAAAGGGGCTGTGGCTCAAGACTTCTGAAGATTTGGAGCTGTGGATTAGCTCCACACCTGATGACCCCGCTACTCCTCTGCAGCTGCCTCAACACAGGTCACCCACGAGCCTCATATGGCTAAATGCAACTTCTCAGCAACCCCCAGCCTGACAGGGGCTCTCCTGATCCCTTGTGATCTGGAATCAGGAAAACGAATTTCAAAAATCAGAAACTCCTTATTCATCCCTAACTCCTCATACCCCTTCCCAAACTTGCAATCAGTCACCACATCCTGTTCATTTTACCATGTCAGTATCTCTGGAATCTGGCTGTCACCTCTATTGCCACACTGCCACTTTCTAGCTCATCATTTCTTGCCTAGATCAATAAAATAGCATTTTAACTGGTCTCCCTGCTGCCAGCCCTTCTCTACCACCTATGTTCACCCCCAATCCATTCTTCACATCACTGCAAAGATGACCTAAGGTACAAATTTACTCATGGTTCACCATTATTTAAATCCTTTAACTGGCTCTCGACAGTACACAGAAAGAATCAAGTGCAAGCTCCTTGCTATGGTATACGCAATGGTTGTTTTATGCATCCACTTGACTGGGCTATGGGGTGCCCAGTATTTATTTAGTCAAACATTATTCTGGGTGTTGTCTGTGATGGTGCTTTCTGGGTGAAATTAACATTTGAATTGGTACAATGAGTAAAGCAGAGTGCCCTCCCAGATTTGGGTGAGCCTCAACCAGTCAGCTGGGGTCCTGAACAGAACAAAAAGGCTGAGTAAGAGGGAACTCCTCCTGCCTGACTGCCGTCAGCTGACACATCAGTATTTTCCCGCCTTTGGACTAAAACTGAAACGTCGTCTCTGTGAGGGGGGTCTCAGGCCTGCCGACATTCAGACTGGAATCGCATGATTGACTCTCCTGGGTCTCCAGCTTGCCAAGTGCAGATTTGGGGACTTACTGGCTTCCAAAATCACGTGAGCCAATTCACTATAATCAATCAATCAATCTTTTTCTCTCTATATCTCCTAATGGTTCTGTTTCTCTGGAGAACCCTAATACAGTATGTAAGGCTTTTATGATTTGACATGTTTGTCTCCAGGCTTATTGCTCAACACATCCTTCTTATATATTGCCTTTGCAATTATAATTTTCTTTGTTGTGAAAGGTATCATATGCATATGCATACATAACATTGCAAGGAGTAATAATATAATGAACACCACGTACTAACTATTCAAGTTAAGAAACAACAGCACTTGGGGCTGGCCCTGTGGCCGAGTGGTTAAGTTCACTCGCTCCGGTACAGGCGGCCCAGTGTTTCGTTGGTTCGAATCCTGGGTGCGGACATGGTACTGCTCATCAAATCACACTGAGGCAGCGTCCCACATGCCACAACTAGAAGGACCCACAATGAAGAATATACAACTATGTACTGGGGGAGTTTGGGGAGAAAAAGGAAAAAAATAAAATCTTTAAAAAAAAAAAAAAAAAGAAACAACAGTACCAGCACTTTAGACCCCTGACAAAGTGTGGTCCCAGGACCAATGGAATCGGCATCATCTGGAAGGTTAAAAAATGCTGAATCTCAGCCTCCGCCTCCTTTGCCTCAGATTTTTAACAGGATCTCCAGGTGATTCATCTGCACATTAAGTCTGAGAAGCTCTCCTTAGAAGCCTCTGCCTACCCCTTCTTCAACTCCCCCAAGAGATACCTAACATCCTGATTTTGTGTCAATTGCTTTTCTTTCTAGTTCTATCACCTTCATGTAATCTATCCCCAGGCAATACACCGCCTAGTCTTGAAAATGGAGGGCAAGCACCCACCAGCCTTGCAAGGAGAGGGCAGCACTGCCCCCGGGGGACGGAGGCTCCAGGTGGAGGTGAGCGGAACAGTCTCCTGGTCATGGTCTGCCTTCTGCTTCTCTGGGAGTTGACAAGGCCCCTTCTGGGGAGGTCGTGAGCAAGGTCACGAGCGAGTCTTGGGAAACACAGGGCTCTCTGCAGTCAGGCGCCCGGCAAGACGGAGGTGCACACCAGGCACTGGACACGCAGCAGCAGTGCAGTCAGAGGGAGCGGGCTGCTCTGCACTTTCCGCTTCTGAGCCCACCGTGGCCTCCCTGCAGCCCTCAGGGAAAAGCTGAGAACTTCTGCGAGTGATGTGCGTGCCCTCAGCAGAGCACGAGGGAGAGACCCTCCTCAGCCATGGCCAAGACAAGCCAAGGGCTGATGAGACTCTGGGCCAAGCTCTCCTGGGCCTTCCGTCCTCGGGGTAAGAAGATGGCCCGATGGAAGTGGGGTCTTAGTGATGACAGTCCATCTCTTGGGTCCCACTGCTGCAGTGTGGCTCAGCTGCCCTCCAGGTCTGGTGCAGAGCTGCCATCTGGGGATCGCTTTTCATCATCATTTCACCAAGGGATTCGTTGTTATTTTTTTCTCTGTTGGGTCTCCTGTTTTCTGTATCTCATGTCTTACTCTTTCTTGATTTATTCTTTCAATTTGGTGGAGTACATCTTGCAGTAGCTTCCTGAGAAAGGGTATGTGACAGTTAAATTTTTTAAATCTTTAATCTCTGAAAATGATTATTCTATACTTATTCTTGTATACTTTGCCTAGGTATAGAATTCTAGGTTAGTAATCATTTTCCTTCAGAATTGTGAAGGCATTGTACTATGGTCTTCTTGCTTCCTATGTTGCAGCCATGAAATGCAAACCAATTCTGATTCTTGATACGAGACCTAGTACCCTCCCCATCCTGGAAGCTTGTAGAATCTTTTCTTTAAACCCAGTGTTCAGAAATTTTATGATTGGTGTGGGTCTATTTCCTTCTTCAGTGCTAGGCACACAGTGTGCCCTTTTAATCTAGCAACTCATGCCCTTCAGTTCTCAAATTATTAATCATTTCCTATCCTGTTTTCTCTCTTCCTATAATTTCTATTATTCAGATGTTGGATCTCCTACACTGGTCCTCTAATTTCCTCTCCTATTTTCCATCCATTTCATCTTTTTCCTTTACTTTTTGGGAAAATTATTCATATTTCATATGTACAGTTCACACACATATTTCATATTTTAAAAATATTTCCATTTTTTGCTTTCTGAATTTTTTAAAATTCTTTTTCCATAATTACAATATATCCTTTTATCTCTCTCATTAACATCTGATTTGTCAAAGCAAGTCATATGTCCAAGCCCCAAACCAGGGGTTGGGGAAGTATACTCTGCTTGCTATGAAGCTATGGCAAGGGTGTGGGTTTATAATATGACCTTAAGAGTGAAGAACTGAGACCAAACGTTTAACCTATCCCCACATAACTAAGGGATATGACATACTCCCATTAATAACAGAGACTCATTTTAGCAGCAATAAGGGATAAAAGACAGGGGACAGGTGAAGGACAGAGGGCATCAGTAGGCAAGCAGATATATAATTAAAAAGTGCCCCCAAGTAATTCTAATATATTTGACCCTCTGCCACAGAGAGTGTCTTTGGCTGAAAATCACTGTTCTATACTAAGTAACATATTAACCAGTAATTTATCTCTAAATAAACTTCTAATTTTTATAAAGTTCTTTCCCATGTATGATCTTATCTGCAGAAGCTAAACACACAGTGGACAAATAAGGAGCATTGGTACTGGACTTTGGTTTGGATTCTGGTTCTATCACTGAGCTGGCAACCTTGGCAGGTTAACTTATGAGTCTTAGTTTTCCTTATATGTAAAATTGGACACAGTAATATCTACCATATAAGACTGCTGCAAGGACTAAATGATAAGATATTTAAAGAGTCTGGTCCTTTTAAAATTTTCTTTTGATCTGACCAGCCAGGCTACTTACACCAAAGCAGACCTGACTGCATGCCATGATCCCAAGACAGGCACATCATATATAAATAGCAGAAGCAACTGAAGGCAGACTCTCAAGACGGCTGCCCCATTACACAGTAGACCACCTCTAGCCAGCCCAGGGCTTCCTTAATGGAAAGGTCCTAATATCATCAGCGAATCAGCAACACTGAGAGACTTTGCTTTCCCAGTAAGGGAAGAGACAGTTTGTGGTCCTCTGACTTTAAAAGAATCACCCTATTTTTCCTCCCCTGACCCACTCCCCTCAAAGCCTAGACTGTGCTAGATTGGGTTCTCTGCTTGTAGGTAAAATTTTTCCACTTAGTTTACAATCTTTGGTCTCTTAGATTTTTTTTTCCTTAACACCTTCTCAAGATGAGGAAGTTGGAGCAGAGAGAGAGAACTGCCATGCCTAAAGTCACACAATTACTTTAGGCCCAAATTGTCACTGCTTTTGACTCCTGACCCATAACTAGCTTCATCCCTTCTGCATGCAAATCTTGCACTATCTTCTTTCCCCTCATTAGTAGCACCCTCCTTCCCTGAAACATAGGGCCTACTGTCTTTTTTTGTTTTTGTTTAGATTAACTGAATTTATTCATAACTATACAGCAAATCAGATACTATATAGCAATAGACATATATGCATATAAATTTTTTCCATGTTTTATATTTAGGCAGAAAATCTATCACATCTTTCTTTGATTGATTTTAAAAGTGACTCTCGTCTCTCCAATTTCACTGATATGCCTTTATTAAGCAGCCCTTAAAACTGCTAGAAAATTTTCAGGGCATGTGGTTTGTAAAATTACAATTTTTGTAATTTTTTAAAAAATTGTTGCCAAAACCCATATCATAAAATTTACCAACGTAACCGTTTTTAAGAGTTCAGTACAATAGTGTTAACTATATGCACATGGTTGTACAACAGATCTCCAGAATTTTTCATTTGCGTAATGTCCCCAAGGTTCATTTAGTATACGACAGAATTTCCTTCCTTTTTAAGACTGAATAATATTTCATTGTATGTATATACCACATTTTCTTCATCCATTCATCTGCTGACACTGAGGCTACTTCCACCTCTTGGCTATTGTGAACAATGCTGCAATGAACATGGGAGTGCAAATCAGGGCCTACTGTCTACCAACTCCACTTCTGAAAAGATCTCAGCCTAAAAATATATAGCTCTGACTCCCAATTCAGAGCTCCTTCTACAATATCATTAACATTCATTCAACAGATGCTTGCTGATGGCCAAATATGGAGCAGGTATAGTGCTAGACTCTTAGTCTTGCTCTCAGTTGCTCATAGTCTAATGGAGAACAACAAATACACTAATTACAGTTCACTGCAGTTGTTCTGGCAGAGGCTGAGCACCTAGTCCAGCCTGAGGAGGAACTTAGGGAAAGGGTTCTGGAGGAGATGACATAGGAGCAGAGTTCTGAATGGTGAGGAAGTGTCTGACATTACAAGACTGGTGAAGGATACATGTAAAGACACCAAGAGAAATTAGGCCATTTTCAAAGAACTGCATTCAAAGTATTTTTGGGATCTTGGAGTATCGCACATGGCCTTCATTCCCGTGGTACCAGACTACACACAGTGACATGCTGCTCCAAATGTTCACCGTGTGCTATAGTTTCTTCTGCTGTTCTGCTCAAAAGTTCTCCACAGACCTGATAGCCTTGAGCACTTACTTGGCCAAAGTTTGGCCTGTGAAGTGGGATGCTTTGAATTCAGATATACCAGAGAGTGGGCAGCAGGAGTTGTGATATTTTTCACTCAAAGACATTACTCTTCCACCATCAACTAATCAAACAACGTACAGCTCTTTGAAGGAACACTTCACAAGAACGCAGAGAACAGGGGTAAGAAACATGAAGGCAATGCACCGTATTTAGTGCAGGCAACAAAACTCATGACAAGGGTCCATGCTCTTTAACTCTCTCCCTCAGAATTCAGAAGTGAGATGGTAGTCGTGGGGATGTATATTAATACGTATATTTGAAAAACGAAGTCAAACTTTTTCTGACACAGAGCTGAGTCTGATTTGGCTGATTCATTTGACAATGAAGACAGGTTTTGCCAATTAGGTTACATGGTAGACATTTTCCATATATTAAACAAGCTACAGTCACAGTTCTAGTTTTGATGAAAAAAATACTTCTATATGCTTTAAATATATTATCAAAAATACTGTATGGGCAAAGGTGTATTGAAAGGAACAGTATTTTGATTTTCACAACCAACTTTGAGTATATTAGCTTAAACAAAGTACCTCTAAGTGAAAGAAAAATAGGTATAATCAATAACCAACTGATAAGACTTGGTAAAGCCTTTTTGTTATATTTCTCAGTAAATGAGAAAGTGAATGAGTAATGACTAGACTCTTTGGTAAGTCAAATGGTTTCTAATTCTTTGCTTTCAATAAAATTGAAGGAGTACCTAAGCAAGTTGTAAGCTAATTAGTAAACTAATTTTTGATGACACGTTACGAGGCGATTTTTGGCATACAATCAAATTTCAAGAAAATTAAACAACATTGCTATAAATGTCTTCCTCTCTTTTATATTTATGTGAACAAATACTTCTGGGGCTTAAATTTATAAAAACAAAACATAGGAATAGATGGGGCTGGCCCCATGGCCAAGTGGTTAAGTTTGAACACTGCGCTTCGGTGGCCCAGGGTTTCGCTGGTTTGGATCATGGATACGGACCTAGCACCACTCACCAAGCCATGCTGAGGCAGCGACCCACAAAGCAGAACTAGAAGGACCCACAATTAGAATATATAACTATGTACAGGGTAGCTTTGGGGAGAAGAAGAAGAAAAAAAGCTCAGGTGCCAATCTTACAAGAAAAAAAAAAAGGAATAGAATTGAGAACTCTCATTTTGTAAACAATATTCACCCATGGTTACATGAACAAATTGAGGAGGGGGAAGCCTTATGTGTCTGATTAAGGGAGTTATTTCTAATAAACTACTTTTTTGCCTAAAATTATTTATAAAAATTTATAATGTATTTGTTTTTTGCTGTGTATTAAATTACTACAACTCAACTTAGTGAAATAAATCTACATAACACACACAACCTTACAAATGCTACATATATTCTTCTTTTGCAGAAATCACCTTAAAAAAAAGCAAAAATATACGTAGAGCTTTATGGTCAAAGTAAATTGAAAAATTTTTAACTTCAATTTTTATACCTTTTTTGTTGCAGAGAAACATGCTAGAGTGATCAAACAAAAGGTCTTAAAAAAAAGCATACATTATGTTAGAATAAAACTGTGTGAGGCAAGTGTAAAAGAAATACAAGTTCCAGGAGAAAAAAGAATGATTTAAAATTTCTGTTAAAGAAAAGCATTCTTTACATGGTTGATGAAAGCGTATCACTAAGGTACTCAGAGTCCACTGGCTACATTTTAAAAAGTGACGTAACCTTGTTTTTATTTATTTATTTATTTAAAGACTTTTTTATTTTTTTCCTCAAAGCCCCCCAGTACATAGTTGTATATTCTTCGTTGTGGGTCCTTCTAGTTGTGGCATGTGGGACGCTGCCTCAACATGGTTTGATGAGTAGTGCCATGTCTGCGCCCAGGATTCAAACCAACGAAACACTGGGCCGCCTGCAGCGGAGCGAGCGAACTTAACCACTCGGCCATGGGGCTGGCCCCGATGTAACCTTGTTTTCAAATGTTAGTATTTACAATTCTCTGAAAGTTACATCCCCTGAAACTATAAATAGCATTTCTTGCCCTTTTCCTTTTTAAAACAATTCATTCATATTAAATATATGTAGCACGTATAAGGTTCTATGTTACATAAATTTCTTATTTCATAGATTTCACTTAAATTGAGTTACGGTAATTTAGTATACAATTGATTGACACAATAAATGTATTATAATTTTTGATAAGCTTAAAAACTTAGGATGAAAGTTTTAGATATCAACCTAAAAATGCATGAGGGGGTTCACAATGTTTCAAAATTATTCAGCCCAAACACTCAGTGTCAAATACAAGGCTTTTCACGATATGACTCCTACCCTTCCAGCTTTATCTTCCAGCCTCTGGCACTTTAAGTCCCAAATTCAAAGAACCACTCACTGCCATAATTTTGGCTTTTGCTTAGTTTCCCAAAGGGATCAAAGTCCTATTAGATACCCCCTGATAAGAGCTCAAGTCCCCATGCATATTAGCATATTAAAGGTTTGGAAATGTCCTGAATAAAGGAAACTTTAAATTTGTTTATCCCAGTATCTCCAGAATTTGTTCAATTCTAGACCTCTCTTAATAGCCCATGAGATTAGTGTGCCATGGAACATCCTTTGGAAAAAGCATCTGGCAAAATATTGAGATCCATTTTAAAAATCAAGTCTTTGACGCTTTTCTAACTTCACTCAAGAGGCATTCCTGCCCCCAATATTCCCACAGGTTTTGCAGCCTTCAACATGGCTCTGCAATCACCGGTTACCACGTGCTCCCCATCAGGCTTCGTGACAGCTCTGGGTACCAGCAAAATTTCTGGCTCCTAGGAGGGGGCTCAATGTTGCTTGAACAAATGACCAACTGAAAGCTAGAAGTGGAGGAAAAGCCTGGGTAATTCCCAGGATTCTACTTTGGATGACTGGACTAGGGAAAATACTCCTAAGGAAAATAATAATGGCAGGAAAAAGGGAGAGTCTATTTTGGACATGTGGGGAATCAAAGTGGAAATGTCGAGCAGACAGTTGGAGGTGAACACTGGAAGAGAGATCCGGAGGTCTGAACAACCTTGTTATTACAGGTGATAGATGAAGCCGTGAAAGAATCAATGATATTGGAAAAGAAGATTGAGTAAAAAAAGTAGAGGATGTAGTTGCCTGGGGAACACTAGTATTTAAAAAGGATCCAAAAAAAGTTTCTCAAGCCAAAAAACTCGGAATTCCCCTCAACTCTCCCCCTTTCTCTCACCTCTCATCAAATCCACCTAGTCCGTCACCAAGCTCTGTCCCCTCTGTCTCAGGAGCTGTTCAGAACCAATCTCCTCTCTGCACTTCCATTACCACCACCAGCCCCAGCCTAGGTCACTGCAAAAGCCTGAACTGCATCCACTCTTGCACACACCAACCCCAGACATCCTCCAGCTAGCACCAGAATGACCTTTTAAAAAATAAGTTAGATCACATCTCATTTCTGCTTAAAATCTGGCTCTTGCTTCCCACTCTGTTTGATCTGATCTCTGCTCACCGACCTCTCACACCAGCTGCCTACCCACCAGACTTCTCTGGCCACACTGACCTCCTTTCTGCTCTGCATGCAAGTGCAGGGCGTTCCTGCCTCAGACACTTTGATGGTGATTCTCTCTTAACTGGAATGCTCTTTTCTGAGACTCTCAGCTGACTGATGACCTCCTGTCACTGAAGCCCAAATTAAGACAGGATCTTATCTAAAGCTACTATCATAAATCACACAATATTGCATTACTCTTAATTTTTTCTTGGCATCTATAACTTAAAATTAATTTTAAAATTATTGATCTCTTCTCCATTAGAGTCGAGTTTTAAGTTGTTTTGTTTCCTGCTGTATCCCTAGTGCCTAAATATGCTCTGGGCCACAACAGGCACCCAAATTTATTTACTGCATGAATTAAGGAAAAGTAGGAAGGAGACTAAGAAAAAACAGCCAGAAAGTTGGAAAGAAAATCAGAAAAAAGTAGAAGCTAAGAGAGGAGTCTTAAGGAGGAAGTGAAAAAGAATGATGACTAAGAAGCCACTGAATTTGGCAATTCTGTCTTTGGTGTCCTTTAAGGGGGCAACTTCGGAAAAGTAGAAGAAGTAGAAGGCAGATTACAATGGGCTAACAAGTAAATGGGAAGTTCAGCAAAAAGGGCAAAGGGAAGGAAGAAGATGGAATACTATTTTGAGGGTGAGAAAAGACAAAAGAAAGACGACTATCTGCTCATGTTTTCGAGCTGCAGGGAAGGACCCAGTGGGAAAGGGGACACTGAAGATAAAGAAGGAAAGAGGGTGCTAGGACAAGGTCCTGGATGTTACAGAGAAAAATGGAATGCTGAAGCCACATTAGTCATCTTTTCTCTAAAACTATGCCACGTGATTACAGTACAATGTCTGCTTTATGTTCAGAAATATCTACTCCCTGGAAATAACTTATTTTCATAATTTTTACATAAGTTCAGTCTACAAAATCATTATTAAAATTTTACACATCTTTCTTAACTCTTAGAAGGTACACACTGGGGTGTCTGAGGGTAGAAAGCCATGAGGTGTACAGCATCCTCAGGTGGTTCAGGGAAAAAAAGTGGGTTTTTTTCCTCCTTCTTCTCCCCAAAGCCCCAGGACATAGTTGTATATCCTAGTTATAAGTCCTTCTAGTTCTTCTACGTGGGACACCGCCACAGCACGGCCCGATGAGTGGTGGTGTGTAGGTCCCCGTCCAGGATCGGAACCTGTGAATCCCGGGCTGCTGAAGCAAAGCACACGAACTTAACCACACGGCCACAGGGCCAGCCCCCCAGGGAACAAAAGTTTGAGAGAGAGAAACAGAGATGTAGAGAGGACAGACAGAGTATACATGCAAATGATAAAGCAAATGGGGCATAATGGTGATAATGGCTGTAATCTAAGTGGAAGACATGCAGATGTTTTTGTACTATTTGTGTAGATTTTCCCTAAGTTTTAAACTATGTACAAATAAAAAGTTAGAGAAATTTTGCACACCTTAACTAAGCAGACAAGGCAACTTCCATGAGTAGTTGGCATGCAATTGTCAAATTTCTTTGTCAACTATCACCAACTATTTAAAGAGTAAGCAGCAAAAGTGTAACAATGGTGGATAAAGGGACATAGCAGAAACCTTTACAGCATTTTACCAAAAGAAAATGTTCAAGCTACTGCAAAGACTATTTTCATTACGGAATAAGTGTCTGTATAAAGTAATTAAATAATTCTCTATAACCTAGCATTCCTAATAAAAGGAAGTCAATCCTGTCATTAGAAAACTACTACTTGATTTTTTTTTTTTTTTGAGGAAGATTAGCCCTGAGCTAACATCTGCTGCCAATCCCTGAGGAAGATGAGCCCTAAGCTAACATCTGTGCCCATCTTTCTCTATTTTATATGTGGGACGCCCGCCACAGCATGGCTTGATGAGCGGTGCATATGTCCGCGTCTGGGATCTGAACCAGCAAACCCCAGGTTGCCAAAGCAGAGCGCCCAAACTTAACCACTGTGCCACAGGCCTGGCCCCACAACTTGGTTTTTAAAGAGCACACACAATATAAAGAAAACCTAAGGGCTGGCCTGGTGGCACAGTGGTTAAGTGCGCATGTTCTGCTCTGGCGGTCTAGGTTTCGCAGGTTCGGATCCGGGTGCAGACATGGCACTGCTTGGCAAGCCATGCTGTGGCAGGCATCCCACATATAAAGTAGAGGAAGATGGGCACGGATGTGAGCTCAGGGCCAGTCTTCCTCAGCAAAAAAGAGGAGGACTGGCAGCAGTTAGCTCAGGGCTAATCTTCCTCAAAAAAATAAAATATAAATAAATAAAAAGAAAACCTAATAAGGTCATTCCTTGACAACTAGAATAGAAAAAATGTCTGAAGCACTGTTTCTGATCCATCTTCAACAGAG